CTTAAAAATGTGTACATATCCAGCATAAAAATTATTGGAAAAAGGTATTTAAATTAATGAAAGTAATCCCACTTGACATTTGGGATAACAATTACCCTACTTTCCAATTATCATTATTGCTTATTTTCTTTCCCAGAAAATTTGAAGCATTGGACTTATATCCTCAATGCCAAGTTCCATAGTATGATAAGACATCAAGTTCATTTTCAACCTATATTTACATACTTTATGTTGAAAATGGATCATTTGAAAAACATGCTAGTTTGAAGGAAACAGGTGTAATTTTGGTTTAAAGCACATTTTTTCTTCTTGTGATTTTCAAAAGATTTTTTACTCATTTTAAGACCAATGCAGAACTGAAGTAACATTGAATGCTTTATTGCAAGCAACATGTCAGAGTCCTATTTAGTTACATTGGACAAGAACAAGTTGGGTAAGAAAAATTTCAGCCCACCGCAAACACGTTTGACAGCATCTGATTTCTTTTCATACTCATATATATATATATGTAATTCCAGAACACAGATGTGTAAAATTACCTAATTTCAGAACACATGGTGCTAAAAGTAGAGATGGCTAAACTAAAAAAAATTCTTCACGCAACCTACCAGTCGGTCAGTACTATTTACTGAAGTCCATTTCACTCCCCAGCTAGAATCTCATTCACCTCTTCCCATACAGCAGAAGATGTGAGATTATTTACTTATGTAAAATGTAAAGATTTGTTTTTAAAAAAAAAAAAAAAGCTCATGATAAACTCACCTAAAACTTGAGATTGTGGGTAATCCCACAATTACTTTTCTTATTCAAAGAAAAAACATGCCCAAAGTTGTCTTACGTACTCTAGCTTCCATATGTCATGTCATTCAGCGGGAAATTATACTCATGGCCTTACACAAACACTTGTATCTCCAAAGACAGAAACGAACACCTCACTTCAACTAAAAAAGAATGGAAATCTAATAACTATTTTGAATTCAATCATGGCAAATTTCCAGGACGAGGGTTTGCAAATTAGGCACAGACTACTGGGTTTAATTGCTGTTTCACAAGAAAGAAATGGCAAATGCTGGGGACTCTGTTCAAGACAGATTCATGAGCCTTCTTTTTATAGTGATGGTGGTCCCGAGTCAGTACCAGTGTCCCAGAGGTTGTCCAAAAAGGAAATATACAGCATGACTTTACATCAGCCAAACACATTCAACACACCAGACAACATCATGGTGCCTCACACTCCTCCTCTCCCTTCCTCTCTTCACTTGAAAAAAGGGAAGAAAATATGGTTTGGTGAAAACACCCATGACATAGTGGAAAAGAATATTAAAAGCTGAGGGATCTTTGAACACTTTCAGCAACAGCTTGTGCTAAAAATATAAAAAAATGTGCAGTCAAATCATTTGAAGTCAATGATATTCCAAAACATGAAGGTGCTCAGGAGAGTTTGATGTTGGTATGGGTCAGGCAATCAGAATGCACTTCAAGTGCCGTGCCACGTAAAGCACCACTTACTGGCCGAACACAGTATATACTACAAAAATACTTCTATTCCCAGATCAGAACTTTCAGAAAACTCACTTTTGAGTGCAAAAAATTGATTAGCAGCTCATTTACTGTTGTCCTCAGAACATAACCCTTAAATACTGGGAGTCAAACAAAGACTTTTAGAAGGCTGGAAACAGAGGGGAATAATATTGCTATTCATGAGATAGTGTACATAGTATGCAAAGAATAACAATTTTATTCCTACTGATTCTAAATAACTTTTTGATTATTTTCTGCCATATGAGAATCATGCCCTGGTCTTTAAGAACTGTAATCTTTAAACTCATCTGCTGCAAGTTGTGCATGTATTTGTTTACAAGGACTAATACTTCCTGCGTACAGAAAGCCTTAGACAACGTACCAAAAAAAAAAATTGACTGAAGTCTGCTGTATTAGAAAATGGAAAATGTATCCATTTTTAGCAAATGTCAAATCATTGGCTAGTGCTTTTAAGATTAATAAAAGATATAATGGTTTCTAGATAGCCTCTAAATAAAGATTACTATGAATGGAGAAATGATTTACCAATAGTCACCACAATGAGATTTCTTTAAAGGTTACAATCATCAGTTATTTAGCTGAAACACTGCTGAGAATGCCTGGTCATTTCTTGAATAATGTATAATATTCATTGTAGATTTGATCTGTATCATAACAATACAGATATTTCTAAAATAATGGAGAAAACTATCTGTTACTTTCCAATTGCTCAAGATATTTCCATGAAGTAATTGACTCTGAAAATATCATATGAAGTTACCTGAGTGTTCATTTGCAAGCACAACTTGTAGCGATCGCTACACAATAGGCATAAGAAAACAAACTCATCAGCCTTTATAGACTTTTAAGAAAAGCTGTGATAAATATAGGGCAGAGTAAAGGACCTTCCTGAAATACTAAATTAAAATGATTAAATTGCTGTACTGTACTGGAGGACAAATTCAAAACTAAGCTTTGAAATTTAATTATTAAAGCAAGCAGACCACCACATTTGGGGGAAGGGAAAAAAAAAACAAAAAACAAAAAACAAAACACCAATGCACTTGCCTACGCAACGTAAGTACCTCTCATATAATTTTCCAAATACCTTTAAGTCTATTCAGAAGATTGCTTGGGCACGCACAAAATATAATGTCTAGTGTTTTATTGTAGGATTATCAGCCATACTTTACATGAAGCTGCAAGCTATTTATGTGAGCTTGTTTATCCATATGAACTTCTTCAAGGGCAGCAAAAAGTGACCTTAATAAATGAAAATGAATTTCTTTTGATGTAATTTCATGAATGTTTGATCAGAATGTGTTAACAGGTTTCTATGTAAGGAGAACTGGTGAAGTGATAAAATATAGCTGCACTATACAGTTAAACCTGCTCATGGGGAATTCTTATACAATGAAACACTTTTTCATTATTTCGATATACTAACATATAAATAATACAATCATAGTTAGTATAAAACTAAGTACTCAAATGGGGAAAAAAGAAAAAAGCAAAAATCCTTCCCTAGCACCCCCCCGCCTTACGCCTAGAGGAATGGGAACTGTATCACCAGATGGGTGGAAGAGAAGGATTATTCTATCAGATAGGGTGGAAAGGCATTATATGTTTACTTAGCTTTTTTATGGGTAGAAATGTGTTAATCTAGGCCAGGCTATTTATGCTGTTGTCTAAGAACAAGGCTTCATTCTCCCTTAAAATTCTTTTCTTTATTAGAACCTTTACACAAAAAGGAAGCTTCAGTGTTCATATATATATATTCTTATTCCACAAGAAGATAATGAAAAACAGATCCCAGATACTCTGAAAAAATACACAGAGATCTGCAGAGATCAGATTTTCTGTAATACAGGACATTTTGTAGAAGCACTGTATTTCTGTTAGCTACAGGAATTTGGGGAGGAATTATTTATTTTAACAGACAGCTCATAGATTGTACAGCAGAGTCCACTTTACATCCACCTTGAAACACTGTTTAATTGCCTGAGAATAAATTCTCATGCTGAAAAAATACAGAATATTTGCATATTATATCAGAAGCCTGATAAACCATGTTATACTCATGCTCTGGATGATGTAATTATTACCTTTTTTTTCCTCCATGAAAATTATATATGATGTGGCAGATAATATCAATGAAATATATGCAATGATGCAAATCTGTCCAACTACTAAATCACTAGCCTGAAAGTCCTTTGGTTTTTGCCCTCCATGTCTATCTCCATCCACTAAAAATTGTAACTTTCCTTAGCTAATATTACTTTAAATGGAAGAGCAGGTAAAAGCCCTTTGCACCATCAATACCAGTAACCCTTCATGGGCAGTTGTAGGCTGAGAAATAAGATTCTATTTCCCCCTCCTCCCTCCATGCTTAAAGGTAGCTTTTTCTTTTGCCTCATGCTATACACAGTCTATCTAGTTCAGTGTAGATTAAGAGTTTAAGTTTCATAATGTGCAGGAAAAAAGGAAAAAAAAAAAAAAAAAAAAAAAAAGAAGTGTTCAAATCTCATATGCCTCTTTCCAAAATATGTTTCCTCCAAAACGGGAGATCAGTAGCTAAAACAAAACAGGGTAGTTTTCTGTGCTGTCAAAGCCAGGACAACCACAATTCCCAGGTATTTGTAACTTTGACTTCTGTTAATGCAACCTTCTCCCTAATTTATAACACTTATCAGACAGCAAGATTACACTCATCTACATAAGTAGCATGAGTAAAAAAATAAATTACAAAAAAATGTTCTGTTTGCACAAGTCATTGGAAACACTATTCAGGACCAACACGCACACAGCCTCTAAAATAACTGTCTGATTCCTCTATTACCTGACTTTTGTGGCAACTCATGTCTAAAACATTGATTTTGCTGCCCAAGTGCTTGTTTGAGCATGAAAAGAGGATGTTTAATATTGAAAACAGTCTATTTTGGCTGAAATGCCAGATGCCTACTGGCTCACAAGTCAAAATAATTTCTATACGCGTTACAAGATGATAAATAAAATCCTAGTCTCTAACCCGAAGATTTAAAAATTTGGATGTGATGTTCTCTAACTTCAGAAATACATGATTCTTTCCTTAAGGTTTAGGCAGAGAATTAAGAGATTAGGTCCTCAAATCAAGGAATAATGCCATGCTCCTCTCAAATGCATCCTTATATAAAATACTAAACCAAAGCAACACATTCATTGCTAAATAACTGCAAACAATTTAGTCTACATCACCCAGAAGACTTACAGCTGTAATAGTTATATCAATAGGTTCGTTGTTAAATAAAAAATAAATAAAATAAGAGGTTTATTTCACCTTCGCATGGTGTCTTTCTCATGCAGACCTCAGATTTCCACATTTGTATCCCTTTAAAGGATTTGATATGCAGGGAAAGAAGAAAGGATGATGGTAAAAATTTCAATTTAGAGGTTACTAAAGGCTGCCATATTCTATACTATATAGTATATTTACTCCATACCTTTGACTGATGTATTAGGTGGAGGTCCTTCCATTCTCAAGTTCCATGGAGGATCACCTTGATTAGCAAAGTCCCTCATTTTCAGATAGCTAATTGTAAGTCGGATGATGGATGCCTTGTCAAGCTGGCTGGTAATGGCTGCAGGCAGTGGCAACAACTTTGCCAACTCATAGAATTCAAAATTCTCCTTTCCCCGGCGAGAGCGAGCAGCATCTCGGGACTTTTCCTTCCTCAAAGCTTGTAAACTGAAAGAAAATAAACAAAGTAGACATTCATCAATATTACTGTTCTGTCACATTTAACCGATTTGCTTTTTCACTGCTGGTCTTCTATACAAATTACCACATTTTAAAAATGCCATTGTGGACAGCTGTACAGACTTCAGGATAAGTTTAATGGTACTCCAGTCTTTGCATGATTACAACTAATGATAATATTGGAGTTTCAGTGGTAGTCAACACATTAAGTACTCTTAACTCATTTCAGCCACTTTCTTCTTACCCTGCTGCTTCCTTTCTCCACTGCCAGTGGCAAGAAAGGATTCCCAAGAACGCTGTGTACATGTGGGGTTTATCTGCGTGGATGACACTGTTTCTCCTGACCATTGTAACCCAATTATGTCTAAATTTGTGCGAAGTTCTGACTCTTGGGAGAAGGAGGTTAAAAGCAGACGACTGAAGTGTGTGCCACCTCTGACAAGGGTTACAGTACAGCCAAGACAACCAAACAGGTTGTACAGTAGCTTCTGAGATGCAAATGTTTAAGTCTGGCCTAATAATGTAAACCTTCCTCAATTTCATGAAGCTGCTCTTCATGAGTTGTTCAGCTGTCCTTGCCGTGGGAACAGCAACCTTTGTCAGAGGGGCAAGCAAGCAGTTAACATGGTTATGTGCTTCACATTTCTGATGGTAATTCACTACCACACATGTGTCAGACTGACAACTTTTTGGTTGGAAAAGACCTTCTGCTTTACTCTGAGCTGGTGGAAATGCCAAGACATTAATTTACTCCTGTGGCATCAATGTATCACCTGCTACCATCCCCATGCAACACTTAAAGGCAATGCAGATTTTACTCCTGGGCTCATTGTTTAATTGGTGTATAACTGCTGAATGCCCGTTGTGATGGCAGCGGGTGACCACTGGGGTCTTCTCCTGATCTTTCCCCGAAACTCAAAGGAAACTCAAGTTTCAGTTGGTTTCAGTATATAACAGCACAACTTTGCAAGGGAAAAAGAGATTAACTTTTTTTGTTGTGTGGTTTGGGGCAAAGAAACATACAGCACACTTCCCAAAAGATTAGGAGTCAATGTGTAGATAATACAAAGCACAGATATTGCCTTTTTTTTATTTTTATGAGAGTTTTTTTTTTTTTTTTTCATTTTGTTTGGGTTTTGAGACAGAACAGTGTGTTCAACTCAAGATATGATAAACTTGACCATACCTCTGGCCTTGGTGGATAGAGGTTGATGCTGATGCTGGGGTTGGTGTCTGCCAATTACCACGTAAGGTGAGTAGAAACTGTTCTTGTCCTTCACAAAGGCTTTATCTTTCCTTTGCTTCATTTGTGTACTTATTAATTTGATGAAATTATAGCCACAATTCCATTAACTAGACATTGGTTTACAACAGGGCTAGAATTCAACCAGTGTATAATGGAACAGCAAATGCTTCTGTCAAGCTTCCACAACCCTTCCTAAAACCCTAGATTTTATGAACAACAAAAAAAATCATCATTGGCCAGATTTACAAAATCACTCTGACATATGAAGTAGATCAGTAGAATCTAGGCACACAGATCTAATAACATGATTCTGAGACCTCTATTTACCTACCTTTCTAATTCGGGAATAATTTAAACTATAGATATTCTCTTACTTTAATATTCTTAACCACCTGCATTTTCGTGGCTGTCTCTGCCCAAGGTACACCTCAGACTTGAAAGGGCAGATCAGCCAGGCCCTTAAAACGCAAATGAAATCCCCCCATCATACTTCCCTGAGGATGCTTAACAAATTATATACCCTACACAATTCTATACTAAGAGCAATTACATTTAAAAAGACAGCCTGACTAAGAAATAGGGATGGTGAGATAAAGATACAGGAAGAAACAGCATGTTCTTACCCACAGGTAAAGATATGCCATCCTACTCAATCCCACACTGAAGTACATACTTATGTTTATGAACTCCATACAGACCGCTAGCAGCTAGATTTGTAAGTTATATTCTAGGAGAAAAGTACCTGAAAAACATGATTTTTGCAATGCTTGTTGCAGATGCATCTCTGTCTAATTTCAAATTTTAAATATCTACCGTCATAGATGCATAAAATACCTCAAGAGATGCATTAAATATAGCTGATAGAAATATTTTATGTATATACAGAAACTTGGAAGCTACAGCCCTATGAGGTGTGAACTGTCCAATTAATTTCAGTGAAGTAAGATACCCTACACAAGTTAAATACCTACAACAGTAACATAAGAGACAGGCAAGTGTCCCTGCCCAATTGCTTGCAAGTGAAAGCTCATTTTCATGGCACGTGGCCTTTACTACTTGTCATCACGCTTTTTTTCTCCGGAAGCCAAGCCTGAGGACCTCAAGTCCCCAAATCAAGTTTGAGGGATCCAGAAGAGCCAAGATTCTAGATCTATTCTGAAACTCTGCACCAAGAGTTCAGACTGTCTTTCCAAAGCACTTAATTATACCCCTGTGTAAGAAGGGGGCTTTTTGGAGATCCCTAGTAAAACAAACCAGAAACATTACAGATCCCAGCAACTTTTGAATGGTGATAGAATAGTCCTTAGCAACGCCAAACACTGAATCCAGTTTACAAGTCCTGTATACAGTTCAGGAGATTGCCGAAACTGGATCACTAACAGTTTGCAAGGGTAGCCAGTTAAGCTGAAAAGCAAGGCTACCTGTGTAAGTAAACAGCAACCTTTGAGAGCCACCTACGTGTATTCAAACTTTCACAATCAAAAAAAAAAAAAAAATCCCAAGGATAAGGGATGTGGAGCCGATATAACAGACGTACAAAAGAAACTCCTGAGAAACAGTATTATCAACAACACGTTTTCCCTCCCAGCCATTTGGTATATTGTCATTTGTGGAAGCTTCACCAAGCGACTCAAGTCAAGGAGTTTGTAACTTGTAGCACTCTCATCTTGGCATCAGCGCATTAAGCTAAATTTAGAAATGGTGCCTGTTGAAATGTGCACATAAGTCCTAATTTCTACTCTACTTAATTCCACTAGGGAAATACGCTTGTAGTGTTGGACACTGCAGTTATGCTGATACAATGGGTCCTTAATTTGGGAGCAGTAATTTCCTCAGCAGGATACAAGAATTCATTAGATATGACCTAAACATCACTGTTAATCCCCTCTGGCATCTGTGATTCTGATAGGTAACATCAGCTTCATCATCAGACGCTCTTAACAGAGCATAGTGCTGACACTGATAATCCCAAGAGGATGCTAGAAAAGAGGGGTGTGAATCTAGCAGCAGAAAGCAGCGGTGTTGACACAGGAGGAAAATTCATCTTGGGTCCTGTCATGTGACATCAGGATTAGAGGTGGTTCTTGGTAACATAAAGGAACTTGCTAGAGTATTGGGCTGCAAAAACTTGGAAATGCATGCAGGGTCTCCTGCTAACGAGAATAATAAAAGCGTGGAAACTATACCCATGTTTACTAAGTGGCTTTCAAAAACATTCAGAAAGCACCAAGCGAGCACATGTAAGAGCTCTTACATGATAGGGAAGGTCTCCCAACAGACAAGCAAACCTATACATGCTATCTGCAGTACTGACAAGAAAATAACAGTGGGAAATACACCCAACAGACACAAATATTGCTCCCTCTCTGCCTTCTGTGGAGAATGGGAAGGAGCGCGGATAATTGGATCAGAGTACATCACTGTATGATATCAAAGGATGATGTTGTCATACAATGGCAAAACTTCATCTGTTCCCTTAAGAACACACTTCTCAAAGAATTTCCATATACAGAGTCCACTAAAGAAGACAAAGAGGTTTCCAGCTGCTAGCTCCTGATAATTCCGAGATGCAGTACCATAAAACCAGGATATTTAATGGCTAGAAAGCTAAAACTATTTTGGATAGTAGGTTTCTAAAATATATATTATTCTTCCTTTTAGGGCCTTTCCAGATGGACTGATATAAAGGGGGTCTGGCTTTTACAGATGAAAGGGTACAATAAATACTACCATATAATTTTAAAAGGGTGTACAAAACATTTCTAAAGTAAATTTTCTATTGAAGACACAGCAGATGCAGAAGACATGATAATATGGTGTTGCATAAAAGTTTTATTGGTACTCATAACTCACTTGTGATTTCATTGTGCTTGTGGTCATTCCAAGCTTAACCTGCTTCATATTTTATTCCACATCATTTTATATATTTTATATTCATAAGCATATACATGCATCCATATCTGTGTGCACACCCACAACCTCCACATGTCTGACAGATCATCATCTGTCACTTTAAAGATGGGACAATCACAGCTCCTAATTTTTGCAGCACCTAATGGCAATCAAACACGTTACAGCGTATCAACAGATGCACTGACCTACATTAGCAAGGATTTTTTAGCATATCAATACCTCACTTCTGTGTCTCAGTTTAGGCGGTAAAAATCAGTGAAATAATTTAATTCCGTGAGTTTGCATTTTGAATGAAAACAGGGGAATGGTTGTGGTTATAAATAAATATTTCTAACTGCAATTTCAAAATATAGCTTGGAAGCAGATATACAGCAGGCTTGCCCAGTTTTAGAAAGGCAGCTCGCATTTACATTTCATCTACACTGTTCTCTTAAACCTGACGCGGGCAGGACCGCCCAAGTGGGGCTTCTCAGAGATGTAGGTCTCCCCCCGCTCTGCCCCACATAACAGCACCATACTTGTCATAAACAGGGATTGGACTGGGGGCAATGGCCATAAAACAAGGTTTGAGGGACAGACGGGCTGCTGAGCTCCAGATTTCATGGCTCCAGCCAACGGACAGCTTGTCTGCAGCGTGCCGTCATAGTTTTTGCTCATTTTCATTAACTACAAGCAGAGAAGCATGGCAAACCCTCACAGAAGATACACAGTGTTTTTTGTAATTCTACTGAAATCCTGCCTGATTTGAGGAGAAACTTCACCAGTGCAACAGTATACCAGAATAGAGCACTTCTTCGTGTGGTACTAAACAATCTCATAGTTGTTAATT